AAATCCCTAACCTCGTAGCCCCCAACACCCCGAACTCGGGTCTTCGCACCAATTCCGAAATCCTACTTCGCAGTCGAAGACTTTCATTGACTGAGCGACAAGAACTCTTCCAAGTGAGGCTCCGCTGAAAGCCCGATGCACAGGCAAACACACATGTTGAGGGGTGAAGGCGTAGAGCCGTCGGAAGCGGGCAGGATCATAACCAGCAACGTTGCCCCTGAACCCTAGACCCTTAACCAGAAAAACAACACCCGACAACGGCAGTAGAAATCCAGGCAGCCTAAGTGGTTGAAAGAGCCCAGAAGGATCGGCAGTGGCATCGGCACCGGCCTGCAGTTCCGAGCAAAAGAAAGCTTTCAGTGCAATGTGACTGTAGTTGTACAGGGTTCCTTGAAAATGTTCCTTTTGAAGGTGTTAAGTTACTATCACTAAAAGGGCTACTTAAGGGTTTAATACAGGGCTTGTTTACGGAATTACGACCGCAGGAATCGTCATCTCAGGGTTTAAGATCTGCGTCGAGAACTGAATACGATTTAAAGTGAGACTGTTTGCCGGTTATAAGGCTTTGGTGTTCAGCTTAGGTCTTGCTCAGGGAACGTGTAGGGGCCGGAATAATAGCAAGTGTCTACTACATGACGCCCTATGAACCGAAAGCCTGAGGGCACCCTGTAGAAAAAATATCTATCAACCCCTGGCCCCATGACATTTGTAAACCCCAATCATCAATACCTTACTTTGTAGGTACATGGACCCTCACAGGAAATGTGCCGGTCGCCTCATTCTCTGCACTGTGCAAGAAAAGGGCATCGCGATTTCAGGTCCGCCATTAATGCGGTTTTAGGTTTAGGCGTCATCGCAATGGGAGCGTGCTGGCCTTTCTTGCCAGCGAAAAATCCAAGCCGTCTGCCAGGCGTCGGCTCTAACCAGCCATACGAACCTTAAACTCAGAATCACCGGAGTTTGCTGTAGACCCTCGCCCGATGCACACGCAACACAAGGAGCCCAACCTGAACAGACCGTACAGACGCCTCAGTACCAACCTTGAAAGCCCAAAAAACTTCCTCTCAAACCGGAAGTGTGTCCATATAACCCGAAACCCGAAGCCCTGAAAACCCTAAAACCCAAGACACTTGAGACATAAAACGCTCTAAGACCCCAAACTCCAAAGCTTAGGGTTTCGGGGTTTAAACAGCATGTTCTTAAGATACTTGACGGGTTCCCTGGCCCAAACAACCCTGATCCTGCCAAACTTGTTTTTGGCAGGATTGGGTTGAGGGTTGAGGGTTAGGGTTAAGGGATTGTATAGACCACGCAACATGGCGACCTGCTCCCCTACTGCGAGCGCGACGAGCCTGACCACTTCTGCCGCCTTCGCCAACGGAGCTGGCTCCTGAGTAAGGTTTTCGGGAATTTGAAACCTTCGGACATTAAGGCCTTAGCTTTCTCAAGGGTATCCACACACATATAAATACACGGTGATTTCTATAAGTTTGCAAGTCATGGTATGAAGGGTTTAGGGTTCACGTCATGCGGGTCGCTTTTGGGAAGGGGGGGTGCCGTAACAAGTTCTTTTTCAGGTTGCTATAAGGCTGAGGCCTTCGAAGGTTTCTTGCTTTTGGGCCTGGGAGTTTAAGGCATTCGGCTTCGGGGCTTCAGAATTCGAGGATGTCTGACCGAGCGATTGGATTGGGGATTTGCGGGTTAAGGCTGGTGGTGTCTTGGATTTCGTTACTCCATGGCGTTTTGGGGTGTGCACTGTCGTTATGCAAGGTTTTTTCTGAATCCAGAAGGTTTCGGGGTTGCGTTTATGGACGTCTCTGCGTGATTCCTCAGTGAGGATTGGATGGTGTAGTAGGATCCAGTAGGGCTTCCCCAAAAATACGCCGTATGGAACCGAGCTTTACCATACACCGTCCAGTTTCACACTCAAGAGCATCCCTAGAAACCCCAAACAAGAAATGGCCCGAGAAATACCAATGCACGGCAGCTTCAAGAAGACCGGGCCAAGATATTAGCAGGACCGACACTAAGCAAGCTATCTCATTAGAACACACACTAAACCGGACTGTGAGCCCTGCAAATGAAAGCCAGACCTGCATTACACACCAATCTCACCGAACCAACAACATCGATAGAACCTCCAACCCTAAACCATGTAGCCTCCCTGACACTACCTCACCCAATGGCCCCCAAACTTGAATGACACCCGATCCACGGTTTATCCCGTATAGAACAGAACCGCAGCTCGTACAGAACCCCAAAGTAAGCACCGGGCGGTTTTCGCCGGCTCCGGATCGCTCTTCGCATCCTTCCGCGGCCGGCGCTTGGGCCGCGGCATGGCAGCGTCCTCCCTGGGTTTCACTTTAGGGTTAGGGTTTGGGCCGTCGGGACAGGGTTTAAGAATTGCAAGAAGTTTGAGGAGACATTTCGGGGGGTGCCAGGGCTGATCCATGAGTTGATGAACTGGCATCGTACAGCTCTCGAAAGGACCATGTCCACCTTCTAAGAGTAGAGGGTTCGTTCGGGTTGGATGCTCACGGTCCTCCTATGTATAGTAGGCAACCCAATGGGTTGAGTATGGTGATCTTGCCATTTGGGTCGGGGGTATGGGTTCAGAATCTGGGCTCGGCATATGGATGTTTCAGTCGTTTCGAGTTAGGAAGTTGGGGTAGGGGCTGTTTTTGTTTGGGCGCTACTGGGGTGTGCATTGCTAGAAGATCGAAATAGTATCCACTAACCCAGCCCCCCCAGGCCTCAAGCCGACTTCGCAAAGATCTTTGTAGCCTTCCTTGGGGAGCCCGTTGCCGCCAGCCTGTTCGGGCTGTATCCTTGTGTGAGTGGATGTGTGAGTGGGTGAGTGGGTGGGTGAGTGAGTGGTGGCCGGGGGCAATTTTTTTCAAAGTTTAGTTTCGGACTGCTTGTGAGTTATGGTATGCTCACGGTGTTGCTGCGTTGGGATCTGGGGCTTATGGCTGAAGAACCTTGAAATGAGTGATGCTAGTTCTTTCATGGAAAGCTAACGTATCTAGCTCACAAAGGTCTGCAAGTGCTGGAACCTCATGAATGAAGACTGTTTAGGCCGGGGACTGTGAGTTGAGGGTTTAACAGCCTTTTGTACGACTCTGACGAGTTCAACGATACGCCTGAGAGCCACAAGTCTACAATTGTCTTGGAAGCCTCCTGCTATTGAGGGCTCACAGGTCTTGATGTATAGTGATTGCGATGAGGCTGGTACAGTTTAGACATATCGTTATGGGTTAGAGTTATATTGCGACCTTGAAATGTGCGTACACTGAACCTTCAACCGTAAACCCAAATCTAAACACTGATGATGCTAGGCCAGGCTCTCAACCCAGATAACCCAGGGAATATCATGGAGTTTCTGAAAATTAGGGGTACCATACTTGGGGTCCTTACAAGGAGGATCCCAGTATTTAGGCTACTGCATCAGGGTCCCCTATTTGCGGCAACTCCCATCAAGGACCAGGCTGTTGTCAAGGCCCTGGCTGTCGGACCACCGTGTCGATGCGTGCCAGTGTAAGTTGTCTTGTCCTTGTTCGGTTCGGCGGCAGAACCCAGCTCGACTGCAACAAACAGAACACCCTAAACTCTTCGGGATTGGCATTGGTGCGAGAGTTTCGAAATCCGATATCCAGAAGTGTCGCGTCCCCCTCGGTCCGACGAGTGAACTTAGGGCTATGGAGTCTGAGGGCTCAGGGTTGGATTTCGCTTAGGGGTCCATGCACCTCTGCCTCTACTAGTATGTACTCTTGGCCCGAAAGGGTTTGCATGTAAGTACTTCTTCAAGGCCTGTGTAAGGCCTGTGTATATACTATCTTCAGTCAGGTACAAGGACCTTGAGGGTTGAGGAACTGAAGAATCCACAGGATCTGAGGGCTCAGGGCATGTAAGGTTGAGCGTTTCATGCCTGAGTTTGCCGAGCTAAACTTTCCCAAATCATCCCAGCCAATCTCAGACGAGTCATCGTCGCTGGAAACCCAAAACCATGGAACAAACAGGATCAAACAAGTCTCTCCGACTCTGGAACCTCCGAAACAGGTCAAACCTCTACAACGACCAAGACGAAAATGGCATGGCATGGCAGAAGATCACGAACTCCTTGAACCCGAAATCTCTCAGCCCTGCTGAACACTTACAGACTGCAATGCACAACGTCCTCACGCCAAAGCTTTATAGACAATGCCGCTAAGCCTATCAGGCCTATCATGCATCGGAAGAATGCTTTAGGGCTTCCTGGTCCAACAGCAAACCTATGTGCAGAACACAAAGACGGACTCATGAGGGTCCGCTCTAGGTGCCCTTCACAGCTTTCTTGGACTGAGGCGGGGGTCTACACGAGAAACCAGGCTGCACCTCGAAACCACGCAAATAAAATGCCCCGCCGCATGGTAGCAAACTGGCATTCCCGGTTCATGGTGGAATCGTCATCCCATTCACGATGCTTCCACAGAAGCGATGCAGATGGCGGTTGTCGCAGCAACAACACTGGACTAACAAAACTAAACACCTGAAAGTCAAAAACAAGAATGACAATGGCAACACTGGCCACGATTATATAGGTAGCGTACTTATAATTGTAGCTTCGGGGGTATTAAAGCTGCCATGATGGTTCTGATGATTCTTATAGCAGTAAGTATGCGATGTCACGAATGGAATGCAGTGGAAGCTCGTAGAAGAATCGCTCTGGTCCACGTGGAGAAGGAGACCTAGCAAGTGAGATCTCATCAGGTTTTCTGTGCATGATTGAGATGCGTGTTGGTTCCATGTCACATATGCTGCTGTCGAGCGGTAATCTTTAAACTCGTGAGGGCCTGGGCGGCATGGCCTCAAGTTGAAGTCTAAGCCCCGATGCAAAGCTGGAGGAGAGTTAGCGGAATACATCTACTTCTGGACAGAGTCGTCCTGAACTGTTCAACAGCATCCATCGAGCATGCGAAGTGCAGTCTTTCACTTTCTGTTTCTGCGCCAGATGCATGAAGTCAATCAAAACTGTTGCCGTTGCGGAAACTGGAACTATAAAAATGGGCCAGAGGCCGTTGCTGGGCTTGATTCTCGGGTACCTGGTACAATTTGCTGTTCGCATCCGCCTTCCGAAGGATGTTGGCGTTTGCGTTAAAATCAAAGATCATACGGAGAAACCAAAAGCCCACGTACAAACCGGCAACTTGCTGAATGAAGGCTTTGACACGAGCAAGGAAAGTTGGCCGAAGTCGTGCAGTAGCATACTTCTCAAGAATGTGCACGTAGGCAAAGAACTTAGTACTCTGATTGTTTGTATTCGCTTTGTGCCAAGGCACAGTTTGCGGCTCGGAAAGATCATCAAATTGCCCTTTCCCTAGTGCACGGTAATCCGCCTCGAGACCTTGATCGATAACGCCTTTCCAACCAGTAAAGGATTTCGCCAACTCTAAATCTGTTGACCTCTGACCTTGGATCCACATCAACCACACCGGTTCCGCATACTCGTTCCGGTCAGGGAGATAATATAGCCCGGCTCGAGACATGCTTGATGCGGGCGATGCTTCAATTGCCAAGAAGACTCTTGATCTGTGACTTGGCACAACATCGGCAGTGTCGAAGACAGCGCAGGACTTCCGGTCCTCTCCTTTGTTCGTCAGGTTCATAAGGCGGATCTTGATGTCCGGGTCTTGCCAGTCTTCCCAATGAGCCTCAATATGTTTGCTTAGAGCCACTTTGGCATTCACCACCGGGGTGGTGTGGGATGGAGAGCAGTACACAAATACTGGGAGGTTCCCCCAGTCCACTGTCTTGTCGTTCGTCATGTTGGCGTCACCAAACTCCTTGGTTGGACTTATATGTGCTTCAACTGCCGGTTACCACGCACGTCTCACATTGGTACACAAGTTGAGCAACACGACCTGTGATTTCCACTAAGCGGCTGAATAAGCAGCGTAGGCAACAATTGCCAACCATTCGATCTGCTTGTATGTTGGGCGGCGGATAGCGGGCAAAGCTGATGCAAGCAAACGGCCAATGGATCGCAAGTTGTTCTCGCACACGGATAAAGCGGCAAATGCGAAACCGGCCGCTGCCAGGGTGAGACCTCCTATCACGCAAATCACGACAACCTCATCCTGGTGGACCATTTTGCAAGCATCCGAACGAAAGCGGATAGGAGTGTCGTAAGGCTCATGTTGCTTGTATTGCTCGAGAATGACTGTGCGACTGCTGTGGGTGCCCCTTGCACGGGCTGTCCCGGCATTGATGCGTGCTTGGCCTGAACTCACGCCACGTAGTGCATGCTTTTGGCAGTGAGATAACAACATCAAGCAGGAAACAAGCGCCGGAATCACTTGAGAAGGTTCCAGCGAAGAGATAGACTCAGCCGACATATGGTTGCCACAGATAATCAATCTATCAATATTGAAAGTTAGCCGTCCGTTTGCTCTGGACACTACTCGATGGAACATATGATGTCTTTGGCATTCCAATTCTCATATCCAGGCCTAAACCAGCAGCCACTAAAACGTGAGAAGCCACATTCCACATGACCTGCACGCACATAACACTCTGAGTCCAGTCCCCCACAATCCTATGCAAGTCTTCGAAAAGGCTGTCTGCATATCCAGCAAGGATCTCACTAAGCAGTTCTGAAAGGGCCTGGCTGCAGCACGAGGGGGGGATGTTCGGCCGCGCCGCTCGGGACTTGTGCCATACCTGTGTGCTTGAGGTTCGGAATGGGTTTGGGGTGTTGGGTTAAGGAGATATGGCTTCAGGTGGTTGAAAGTTTAAACTTGCTGGTGTTCTTGTTACGGTTGCAAGCTTCGGAGTTTATGGGTGAAGCCCCTGTTGAAGGTTAAATCTTGAACCCAGAACCCAACAGCCGAATCCCTCCACACGAAACTCTCAAGCAAGTCTCGATCCTAGACCTACGAAAGCCCCTGGCTCACTTGTGGACCCCTGTGTAAGTGCTCGTGTCGTAGAAGAACCTTTCGGGTCCAGACGTCGGCATCCGCTCCTGCATAGACTCTTTGAGCGTCGAGCTCAAGGGTTCAGGGTTTGGGGTTTAGGGGGTTGAGGTATTCACGCCTGCAGCTTTCGGCAACTTAGGGCTTCGGGCGACGGCTAGGATTGGAGGTTAGGCGGGTTAGGCTCGGCTTGAGGACCTGGAGCTCCAGATGAAGGACCAAGGGGCTCGGGCTGGGATACAAGCGTAGGTAGGCAATGGAGAGTCGAAGAAATTGGTGCATGTCGGGCTTCGGGCTTAAAGGCCTACTGTAGGGTTTTAGTTAGAGGAAAGGGAGGAGCCCCAAACATGGTCCCCATAACACCACTTCCATGCAACGGCTGAGTCCTCTGATGCTTCACACAGGGGCCTTCTAATACCTTCTCAATGTACGTCGAGTAAAGAATTCGAAGCAGCTGGGACTTTGTGCTGTCGATGTAGTTGTCACACAGGAAGACCAGTTACCCAAAAGCCTCACGTACAAATGACCATACACCTCGCAAGACACTTACCCAAGACCATCATTGCCCAGAAAGACATTGGTCACCCGGGCCCCAAAGGTCACCAGTATCCAACATCCATATTGGTGTGACAACGGTCATTCTTCAAGACCCCACACTCTGAGTCTCTACGCTGCAAAAGAATGCAAGTACCTCGATGATGGTGAATAGTTTAAGATGCGTCTCACATGGACATTGAAGAACAATCGTACCGGTAGAACCAGTACAGCAAGCGCAAAAACCTCTGCATACGGTTTTCGGGCTTGGTGCTTTAAAGGCTTTCACTTTGTAACCTCAGGGTGCCCAGAAAGCCCCCAACCTGGAAGCCACTGAGCTGGCTAGAAACATAGATGCAGCCGAACTCGAACCTCCCCCTCCCCTCCCCGCCTCACAAAAACAACAAATCCGCCCCCACGCCACGCCCAAGTCCCAAAACGGAACAACAACCGAACCTGAGGATCGAGACACCTCGGCCCCAAAAGGCTCCTGCTGGAACAAACCGGCCATTAAGCCCTAAACTTACTGCCGCCTCACCGGCTGGTTCGTCAGCATCCGGCAACCCATTCTTCGCTAGTCGAAAGATGTCCTCCGAGATCAGGGTTTACGGCTTAAGCTTTTAAGGGCTTGGCACTATCGCTTTCGGGTTTAGGGCTCTAAAAGCACTGGTGCACCCGTGAGACCCAAGAAAGACCGGTCGCACGGATCATCAAACGAAAGCAGGCCAAGCAGCAACTGATAAAGCTTAGATTGTGTAGAATCCGAACACTGCACTCTGAACGACACATAAAGCCCTACTGTGCGGTGTTTGGAACCTTGAGTTCTGGGCAGGCCCTGCCAGGCCCAACAGTGACCTTGCATGCTCTGGGGCAGCTGACGCGCACGGGGCCACCGGCGCTGTGGGCGATGCTGCGGCAAGATCGGCCGTACGTGGCAGCCTTGCAATCCTCGACCCGTTGGCTGTATCGTTGGGTACATGCCACTAGTGACCTGCCGGATCCAGATGGCTACTGGGACCAATGGGTTCTTTGCTGCCAAGAAAAAGCCGCGAAATTCAAAGGCTTGTGTTTGCGTGCCCAGGCTTTGGAAGGACGGCGTAATCAAGTGGTAGCGGCATTGGACGGTCTGTACCAGGCCATCGGCCTACGCCTGCCTAGTAGGCCCGCTACCCAGGATCAAACAGCGTGCTGGGACGAAGCTTGCATACCATGCCGACGGCTCTTCAGCAGTAGAGTGGCGTGGTCCTGCCATGCCCAACGGGTTCACGGCTACCGCACTCATGCGCATTTGCTGGGCGAGAAGGGCGAGCCTCCCTTGTGTCGGGGATGTGGCAAATTGTACGCATCCGTGGGAAGGCTGCGCCGTCATCTTGTCTACAGCAGTGCCTGCCTCGGCCGATGGGGCGCCTTCCAGGCTCACGGTCCTTGTCCTCCAGGGCAACACCCGCAGGCTCCCCCGGTGCGGGTTAGCGGCTCCGACACCGGGGCCCCACTCCTAGATTTCGAGCCGGGCATTTCCATGACCTTGCTACAGGCCCTTGAGGAAGCCACCAGCGATGAGGAAGAGCTGTGGGCCCGCGTGGTTGAACACATTGAACCCTTGGCCACCATCCGTGCGACGGTGCAACGCTGGGCGGAACGCCATGACGGAGATGCCAAGGTTGCGGAGGCTGCTGAAAACCTCCAGCTTCTCCTCGATCCCGATCTGATAGGGGAGGATAAGCGTGTTACGCCCCCGCGGATCAGTTGTCCGGCTGATGTCGAGCCACATTGGCCTGAGCTCCCTTCCTTTACCTTGAAGGTCGAGGGCGAACTACCTTTTCTTGCTGTTGAACCACCTCCCAAGTGGATTCTCCCTCCTGATAATCCGCGAAGCATGCCTCTCCGGCAAGCCACTGCCTACGCGACATGGCTTGAACAAACCTGTCTCTGTCTGGCCCGCTGCCTTGAGGGCGGCCCAAGGGCCTCAGGGCGGATCTGCTGCAGGGGTCTTGAAGAGGGGCTAGGACCAGCTGCCACGTGGCTGCGGGCCATCGGCTGCATCTTCAGTACAGAGGGAGTGGTTTTCCAGCATGCGAGCCCGTTTCACCCTTTTTCAGCGAGTTGAATTCATCATGCTAGGCGAGCGTCTGACGAGACACGAACGCTACGAATAAATAAATCTGGGCAGGCCTCATTATGGATCCCTTTAACGAAGCTTCTTAAAATCGCCCTGCAAAGCATCAGTCGAACTCTTATTGGCCACGAATGTGCTTGCAATGGTCCTCGTCGGATACAGATCGGCGCCTGCCATCTCCGAACAGCAAGTCTTTCTTTACGTTGAGGGGCTGGGCTTCGATCGGGTGTGAGTCCCTGAACTGGCCCTTCAAGAAAAACATGAAAGAACACCTCCAAACACCTGAACACAGTAGCCTAAACCTTGGGTACTGCCTCCACGTTTTAACCGGCTCTACTACGGGTCATAGTCAGGCTAAACAGAACTATACTTTACTTTAGACATTATCTAACTGTTTCAGAGTGGGGGCAGTGCCCAACCCAGACCTTAAACCCGTAACACACTTGCAGTCTTCGGGGTCCGGGGTTGAATAGCGTTTGTGGGCTCAGCCCTTCTTGACAAAGTTGGGCAGCTTAACCTTGTTGACCAAACTGAAACTGCTTGGGAACAATGCCAGCCACGTCACCGAAGAGCCCACCACGACTAGCCAATCAAAGGCTGCTGAGTTGTACACAGCATACGGATAGCATGTCGCAGCTCCTGTTCAAGCCGACCTTGAAACTAAACCTTATAAGCACTCGACAATAAGCGCCACTTCTGCCAGGTCGTAAACCCTACGCTCCCACACCCTTCGGTCTCCACGTCGCCCCGAATGCTCAGCAAAGCGCCTTCCCAAGCCCTTCTTGCGCGCCTCGCGATGCCCCGCAGGATCTGCAAATACTCCTCAAGTTTTGGGGTGCTGATTCCTGATAAGCCCTCAGAGTCTGATTGACGTCCCAACTGCCTGCAACACCCAAACCCCGATCAGGAAGCCTAAGCCAAACACCGAAGCTGCTGAACCCTACAGCGCAAACGCGGGTTTTAGGGTTCAGGTTTTGTGGCTTGGGGCTGCCTTGGGTTTGTGGGAAGTGTGGGCTTAGGGTTTGGTTTACGGAGTCTAGGGCTTATGGAGTCAAAAGTTTCGGGTTTAGGGTTATGTTTCTTGAGTAAGGCTTGCTGCTTAAGTTTGTTTTAGCGGAGCTTCTGGGCTTCCTTCCTTGCAATCTTCCGCTCGGGGCAGACACAGGACTTCTGAAACAAGTTTCTGGAACTTGAATTGCAAGCGACAAAGCAGTGCAGCTAAGTACAGTCTAACCCAAACTGACAACATTGAGAGTAAACATGATAACGACGGCGACGACGATAGCGATCGTAAAGGTTGCGATGATCTCGCTGGTAATGATGTTGTCGTTGTTGATGATGCTGATGCCGATGGTGGCAATATTGTTGGTTGTGGCGGCAGTGATGGCGATGACGGCTAGAATCATATGTAGTCCTAGATGTTCTGTCTCTGACGACTGACAACAAGCTGTGCGAACATTTGCTTAGCTCGAACCTTAGCAATACTAACCGCCGTTATTACTGTCATTGACCCCTCAACCCCTAAACCTCCAAACCGGTAACACCTAAAAACCGCAGGGAGTGAGTACCCTAGTCCCCAAAAGGTAAACCTGTTCAAGCATGGCAGGGATATGTCAATCCCCAAAGGCTGAAGCTAGCTACTCAGCTTCTAAGAGCCCGTATAGAACCCCTATAGATCCCTAAACACCCCTTATTGTAGTAGCCTAAACCCTTCTCCCCTCAACCTGCAAGGAGCCGTGCCTCGTGGGAAATGCGCCGTGAGCCCTTGGCTGTCCGACGTGCAAAGGCCAAGTCGGCGTCGACCTGCCAGGAAGGGAGGGCTCCTATAAAGGGTTGTATAGGGTTCCGGTTTAAGGGTTTAGGGTTTGGGCGTGGGCCTCATGGTTTAGGGATCAGGACTATAAGCAATAATGGAGCCTTAACAACTTTTGGACTGGAGTTCCTTTAAAGGTTGCCTTTACAAAGCTCTATAAAGGTTACGATGCAGGTCATTCTGGGGGCCTTAACAATTGAAAAAGGGTTTGCGGGTATATACTACGGTTACTACGGTAATATACTATAATTATAGGGCCGTGGGTCTTAAGCACAGAGTTTGAACTGTGGGATTTAAGCATTTACAGTATATGGGTTTACATTTACAGATTAAGGGGTGTAAGTAAGGTTCGAGGGCTGATCGCTTTGGGGGGGTTAGGGTTCTGCTGCGTTTTCTACACGTGCAACTGCAGTTCCACAGGGTTCGGAGTTTAGCGGTTTATGGCTTTGCGGGCTTAGCATTTTCAGCTTTCACTTGTCGGTTGAGGATTGCAAAACTGTGGGCGGAAGGATTGTCAGGGGTAGGCTTTGCTGAGCCCATGCTCCAGGTTCGACCTTAGGGTATTTGGATGATCCCGGGTCCGGTTCGCATTGTTGTTAGTTAGTTGTGACCGAGCCCGTGGGCCTGGGGTCCAGGTTGAAAGGCCTGGCAGTGGAGCCTCCAGTTTATCCACCCTAGCCCTACACTGTTGCACAAACTAACAACCTAAGGGTGCTGAATTTGAAGAGTCGAGGTCCAACGGTTTGGACGAAGTGTCAGTGCCCACGGATGAACTACGGAGTTCTTGCAATCCTATGGTTTAGGACAAGGCAGAAGTCCCTTTCGTGGTCATGGGCAACTCCATGTCAAAAAAATGGGCAGCTGAGTTGGTGCTAGAAGCGAGGGTGGCTTTAGGTACTGTGCTTCTAACCCGACTTGCATGTAGGTGCCCCAAATGATTGATGTGCACCCAGTTGCGCTGAAGTCTTCAGGCTCAGGAGGGGCCTTGGTAAAGTGCTCATCGAGGAGGTTCCCATCTTTCAGGCTCTTGATGAAAGCTCGGATATCCATGCCTCGATTGCTTCATGTCGACCGGAGTCGGGTGCAACCCAGGATATGTGGAGCAATGCTTTGGGCGGTCTTGGCAGTTGAGGTTGCGACGGTTTGGGATTGTTTCGTAAAGGCAGGATCGTGACACTAAGGTTTCGGTCTTGATTGCTTGCTGCACGAGCGATAGTACCTGGCGTTCTCTTCACCAGTAGAAAGGACGAGCCTGCAATGGAGCCAACCTCCGGCTCTGGGACCGAAAGAGCCAGAAAAACATCGAAACTACACAGTTCCGGAATTTCACCTCAAGCGGTTCTTCGTAACTAAATATCCGGCTAGACTTCCGAGCGAAGTTGGATCATAACAAGGAAGCCGACACCTCAGGGGTTTAGCTTGAGGACGCAGGCTGTCTAGCAACTCTGGGCAACACCATCGAATCGTTGCGCAAAGGCATTCACTAACCCAACTCCTGAGGATGCTGAGCAAATAAAATCCTAAACCCGACCTACAGGGCTCTAATCCCTGGGTGCATGGTATAGGGTTCCGAATGCACGAAGTCACCGAACCCTGAGCAGGTGAGGAGACGCCTTCTTCACAATGAGCCTGGTCCCATATCACAGCCGCATGAAACCTCAGGAAGCCTTTACCATCGGTCCCCTTGCAATCAAAAACGCATTGGCCCAAATGTTCTAGTGCAGAACCTATGCGGTGAATCAGTCAGTCCAGTGGCCATTTTGTGGCGCATAGTGGCGGAAGACTTCCACCATGTCAATAGCCATGGCTCACTTTTCTAGGGTTTAGAGGTTCTCTGGGATCTCAAAGCGAGACGTGGTTTCTGCGAGGTTCTCGGGCGGTGCTCTGAGCTTGGAACTTTGGAGACTTTGCCAGTGGTGTGTGGCATACAGAGCGAGGAATCTCGGGAGGCATCTGGATAAGGGTGCTTGGGAAGGTGCGGTAGGGTATGGGGCTTCGGCAGTTGGGGGGGCACCGTACGTTATGAACAGCCATCAATACAAAGACGAAGCCGGACACTACCATATCACTTGAAGCGCGTCGTCAAAGTGCGGAAGGAACATTGGCAAAACAGGGTTATGCATCATCATGGACATAAAAAAGGCACGACCTTCGCAGTACACAACAACCGTTAAGCTTCTGTTGTATAGCCTTATCATGATGTCTAACAGTCTAACCCCGAGGGCACACACATAGTTAACAGCAACACCGAAGCCGAGCTTGCTGAACTACATTCGAAGCCGGCGCACCGCTGGCGATGTTGTCTCGCTGGGTTTCAGGTGCCGCTATTGCGGCTTCACGAGATTTCGAGCTTGGTTCCTACATCTGCGAACTGCACGTCTACTTGTTGCAAGAACAGCGCTGGGCCAGTTACGGTAGGGGCGTCTATAATTAGAATAGGGTTTTGAGGGGGGCCTATTATACTGCAGTTATATTCAGGACTTTCTAAAATTAGGTCCCTATATATTAAGCCTCAAAAGAGCTGAACTGCAAGAAAGGGTCCGGCAGCCGTTGTTTCGTGACTCAACAATGCTCCTACTTTCAACCCTGAAGCCTAAGCCCACACCCAAAAGCCATGAATCCATGTCCTTTAAACCATAAAGTGCCATAAACTAGTGCCCTCAAGTGAAAAAAACAAAACCCTCAAAGTCAAGTCCTTGATGTACTGCTGGAAGGGCTCATCCCACTTGTCAATGTTGGCCTCGGGGCTTTAAAGCCAACTCTACAACGTCGAACATGGTAGCGGACTTCCTGAACTCCCACAGCTGGAACATGGAGCAAACATGATGCATTGCTGGGCTTCTTGATACCTGTCGTCAAGGACAGGGATATCTACGTTCTCTGTTCGGGGTTTAGGGCCAGTTGAGGGCTCAGGTGTAGGTCATTGTTTGCCTTGCCTCGTAAAATCTCCCTTTCTGAATATCAACAAACAATGACGCAACAATGGAGACCATAGGCAGGATTCAAGGTTTGGATGCATCTGGCCAGGAAGTTCCCATATCCGTCTTCGGTTTCGGGCTGCAGACATTCCGGGCGGGGCGCATTGAACCCAACCTCCATCAAAAACGAAACCCCTGCGAGCCTAAACCTGAAAGCTCAAACTTTCAGCAACTGCTTCAGACTTATAGAGCCAGGGCAGGTTGCAACCAGAAGAAGTAGGCTTTTTGACGGCAGAGAGGCAGTGGATTTCTGGCTCATCCAATTTAGAGCACAAGACATTTCCGGGCTGAGGGTATAGGGTTTAACTAAGGAGAGCAATCACATTCAGAAGGTCTCAGGCGAACTCACCTCACCCCGAAATGAGCTCTGGTTCCTTGATCGGAGGCTTGATGTCGGACATGGTGAGGGCTCTGCGATTGTCTTTTTGGAGCCGCTGCCCTCTATGATTTGGATCGTCAGGATAGGCTGAGAAGTAGGAGATTGTGGAAGCCTTTTGAGTAAGACGATGCTGCAAAGTTAGGCTCAATCTCCGCATTGCTCGTTGCCACACATCCCCCAAACTCAAGGAAACAAACTTACGCTAGATCTAGCAAGAGACGACATGTAACGACACAAAACAAAGAGACATCAAACCAACAACAAACCAGCAAAGGCATCGAGAACTAAACGACGGCAACGGGCACTTTCCTAATCTATAAACCCGCGCCTCGTTGCAGGAGTAGATCTTTCCTCGGGCAGGGATCCTGGCACCCGGCATGGGCTTTGAACTCAAGGCAGAGAGGGTTTGCCATAATTTAATGAGTTGTTGTTGGAATTTAAGCTAAGTTACCATAACAGGGATCTATAGTACTTATAGGGGTTCCTTTGTTATGGTAGCTTAACTTAGATCGCTTAACAAGAACCTAGTTTAGGACGGGGATAACCCATATAAACCCCAAGATCATGAAGACCAATAAGGTAAGGATACCCCTGTAAAGTGTGTACGTGCATGTCGTTTTTCGGGTCTCTAATAAAAAGTTTTTACTACACATGGTACTACAAGGATTCCTACACGGGCAACGACTTATAGACTCAGGGTTGCGATTACGGTTACTGTAGGGGTTACGAGCGACAAGGACTACTACATGGGCCACTGAAGATTTATGCAGCAGTACCTACTCGAAAGATTAATCTGCGAGCTTTACATTGGGGTTCTACTCACGACAAAAAGGGTTGCATAGGAGTGGTAACAAAGGATCTTGTATAAACTTTGTGCGTAAGACCAAGAGTAAGCTGCGTGTACTGTACTTCGGCCAGGTTTTTATACTGCGCCAGGCAAGTGCAGCTGCAATCATTTGTAACCTGTTTGTTCGCAGTCTCGCTTTGCAACTTACTCGTTAAAAAAATGAACCTCCAAAAATGTTCAGGGCATCCCGACATATTGGTCTGCGGATGAGCAGCCTCTGCCCTGGGAGCTACAGAGGCTCGAAGTCCCCTCAGTCGTAGATTTGGCATTCTGGGCTCAAGGTCCGGAGACAAAGGCTATCGGACCTGGGCTCTGGAGTCTACAGAGTCTATAATAATCATACGGTTGATGATATAAACCCTGCATTACCCATAAGGAATATACCATAATTCCCATAGTTTAGGGTCCTTAAAGTAATGAAGGATTTATATCATCAACCGTAGTGGGGCCTTAAGAATCTAGCATCTTCATATTTCACGGATAGCCAGGAGGAGAAGCATTGGTATGTTTTCCAGGCTCCGGTACTGCAGGGCTCACATTTACCATCCCAAACTCCCAAAACTCCCAAAGAAACCTTGCAATAAGCGAGCTCAGGCGACTTGATGCTGGGTCGGGTGAGCACGTACTCGCCGATGGAGTTGTCGAGTGTGAAGCCCACGACTCCCCTGGAGCGACATCCGGGGTTTTTGGGTTTAGGTTTAGGGTTTAGGGGTTTAGGGTTTTCGGAGGGTTTGGGGGTTGAGGGAGTTCGGGGTTTCGGGGGTTTAGGGTTTAGGGGTTTAGGGTTTAGGGGTTTAGGGTTTAGGGGTTTAGGGTTTCGGGTTTAGGGCCAGGGTTTCCCAGAGAGCCCAATACCCCTTAATTAAGGAATATAGCTTAAATCATAATATGAGCCCGTTACATAATTAAAGCCATACTCCTTAATTAAGGGGTGTATTGGGCTCTCTGGGTTAGGGCTTAGGGGATCGTGATCTTGAGGAAGAGGAAGATTAGGGTTTGGGGCTTAGGGCTCGCTTGGGTAACTTATTCACAACTATCACAAGGGCAATTCGAAGAGATACTACAAGCGATGCGAACTGTTGAGGGCTGGTTGAAAAGCTTCATGAATGCGCTCTACATGGAGCTGCGTGGAGTGATGTAGTAAAGGACTTCCACATGTGGCTCCAAATTACTTCGTGGTGCGCCGGTTCACCTCCCGGTCACACATACCTACTTGCCGGGCTGCTTGCACCTTCAAGTACACCAGCGCTTGGGCGGTTGCTGCGGTTTCCCAACGAGAACTTTGCTGCTTATTGCGTAGGCTTGTCGCCTGACCGACAGCCTCATGCTAGTTGAGTGGGAATCGTCACGAACCGCCCTCTAAGAAAGGTAAAGTTCATGGAAACGTCACCTAGGCGAAGCACACCTACGAGTGACCAACAGTTCTAAGTCTACAGACTCGACCGTAGAAAGCCAAAAAGAAAGCCACCCTTCCCTGAGCCATATGGGAGTTTCCGAAAATTTAGGGGTACCTTATTTTGGGGTCCTTATAATAAGGATCCTACTATTTAGGGTACTATAGTAGGGTCCCCTGTTTTCGGAAACTCCCATATTCCGCAACACAGTGAATCCCCTAAGCTTCGCCCCATTCAGCTTCTGAGCACACGATGCTTGTTCCCCTGCTTCAACCTCCTTCCAGAGCTCCTGATCCCCTAAACCCCAGAACCCTAAACCCTAATCCCCAACACCCTAAACTGGTTTAGGGTTTAGGGTTTGGGGTTTAGGGTTTAGGGACCCTAATCCCCTAAACCCTAATAAACCCCTAAACCCCTCTACCCTAAACCCACCTTTTACATTGCCGCCCTTTTCGATCACAGCGCGGTTGGAGCATCTTCAGGGCTTGCCGGCCAATAAACCACTTCGACCCAGTACATGGACCCTTACCTATAGTTTCTATTGTAGTTCCTTTTTTTTGGTTAACCAAAATCTCTATTATAGGGTCCTAACCCGTGATATATCTTGTACAGCTGAATGCAAGGAAAAACCGCTTCGATAATGGCACCCGACAATGCCCCAACTACGTAACTAGAATAGGGTTTAGGGGCCTAATCTACTATAGATGCCTAATACGTTTGGGTTACATCGAGAACAGCGGTGGTAATTGGTGCTCGTACATACCTAAGTCCGGGCCTGCCGATGGTGAAGACCAGCTCAGTTGAGCAGGAGTAGAGGACGTAGCCGGCGGCGACGAGGTTCTGCCAGAGTTTCGGGGGGGGTTGATCATGTATTGTCATGTAGTTCTGGCTTTGGGGCAAGGCTCTAGGTTTAAGATTTTCGGGTTTTGGCTTTTGGGATTCCGCTTTGGGGGATTTGGCCCAGCCTTTCCCGGCTGCAGCGTCGCAGCAAGGCAGCTGACCTGGTCGTCATCCAAGTCCTGGCCGGAAAGAAAAGAAAACGTAAAGAAGGCTACAGGAGGTGGCCTTTCAAGTGGAGGATACTTACGGTAGGAGGATCAAAGAACTTGAGTGAAGGGGGATTGGGTGTAAGATGTCGGGTCTGGGGGATTTACGCCTCCGGGGTGAAGGATGCTGGATTTGACGTTTGCAGTCCGGGGAATTGGGG